AGGCACCAAATTAACGCTTATTAAGCTCCTCCCTCTAATTACCGCCCATTAACCGTGGCCTCAGCTGCTCAGCGACCCTCACTAACCCCCTAGAAGCCACTTTCACCCCTAAACCCCTTTAAACACCTCAACATAGTCCACACAATAGTGTAAAACCAACCCCTAAAAAGCAGTGAAAAAGGCTCAGAAAGCCCCGAAATTGTGAGAATTTGGCCCAAATTCCTTTATTGGCTTCAGGAGTTGGCGTTGGGACCCTTCTTCTTGCCGAAGGTGGGCACGACGTTGACGAAGCGCCGGTTGTACTGCATGCGCCGCTTGGCCCGCCCCGTCTTCTTCTTCTTCTTCTCCTGCTTGGCCACCTGATTAAAAAATGGGGGATCAGGGGGGGTCCCCAAAATCCTGGGAGGGTCCCCGAGGTCCGTGGGGGTCCCCTAAAGCTGGGGGGAAGCCCCCTCGGCGCTCACCTTGGGAGTCTGGCCCCTCACTTTGCCGGCACGGGCCAGAGAGCCGTGGACTTTACCTGGGGGGAGGAAGGAAATTGGGGTGTTGGGGGGGTTGTTTTGCTAATTAACACCTCGCTAATTAGCGTCCTCCCCCGGAATTACCGCCCAGCAGGCGCGTGGAGAGGTCCAAGGTGGTGAATTCGGGGAGGGGGCTCTGTCCCAGCACGGCCTCATCGTCCAGAGGGGTCCCAGCATGGAGCAGCACTTGGTCCTCGGGGGGGACCCCCGAAAGCTCGGCCACCCTCTCCTGGAGGAGGACAAAGAGCAGGGGTCAGCACCCCAAAACCTGCGGGGTTTGAGGAGGGGGACACCTCGAATTTGGGGGCTCACCTTGATCTGGGCGAGGGTTTCAGAGCCGGAGACCTCGAGGGTGAGGAGGGTCTGGCCGCGGATGAAGAGCTGCATGGTGGAGGCTGGGGGGGATTTGGGCGGTTAGGGGGGTCCCCACATCCCAAAGATAGGGGGAACCCGCTGGAAAGGGGAGTGGAATCAAAGGAAAGGGGGGGAGGTGAGGGAGGGGTGGTTTGAAGGTTAATTTTGGAGGAGTTGAGCGGTGTTTTGGGGGTGACTAGGGGTGTTTCTGGGGGGTTCTGGCCGTTTTGGGTTGGATCGCGGCTGTTTTGGGGCACTGTGGGTGTTTTAGGGTGTTTCTAGGGGTTGTGGCTGTTTTGAGTTGGATTACGGCTGTTTTGGGTTGGATTGTGGCTGTTCTGGGGGCGTTTTCTGCCACCTCTCCCGCCCACAGGGACTTTGTCACCTGGCCTGGGGCCGTGGGGACAAAGGGCTGTGATGGGGGGGACACCGGGGGTCCACTGGCAGCACCATTGGGTGCCCCCCACCCTCAGAGCTGCCCCCCAATGACCCCCTCAAGACCTGAAAGGGCACCCCCAACCCCCCCCCCAAAACTTCACATCCCCCAAAATCCCTCCAGAACCTCCCCAGCTGCTCCTGCAGCCCCCCCAAAATCCCCTATTAACTCTCCAGACCCTTCCTGACCCGAACCCCCTCAGAGTCCCCCAAACACCTCCCCAGCCCCCCCACACCGCTCACAGACCCCCCAACAGACCTCAATCCCCCCAAAGAACCCACTAAACCCCTCCCGAGCGCCGTCCCTTCTCAAACCCCTTCAGGGTCCTCCGCTAAACCTTCTCTCAATCCTCCAAATCCCCCATAGCCTATCCAAAGCCTACAGATCGTTCCCCTCACCTCAAACCCCCTCACAGCCGCCCCAAACCCTCCCCAGCACCTCTCTTACCCTTTCCCCGACCCCCCTGTAGCCCCCAGACCCCTCAAATCCCCCTAAAATTCCCGTCCCGGTTCCCGGGCCCGGCCCCACCTCAGCGGCTCCCTCAGAGCTCCGAGCGCGGCGCGGAGAGAGCGAACTGACGTCACGCGCACTTACGCGCGTGCTGCGCAATGACGTAATGACGACGGGAAGGCGGAGAAGGAGGAGGAGCCAAGATGGCGGCAATGGCCGCGCTGGGCCGGAGGCTGCAGGCGCTGTGCCGGGGTGTCAGGGGAGTACAGGTACGGAGTTGGGGGAGTTTGGGGATATCCGTGATTCTCTGCGGGGGGGGGTTAGGGGTGTGAATGGTTCTCTGGGGGCTTAAGGGAGGACTCAATACTGGGGGGTGTGGCGGGAGTTGTGAGGAAGGAATTTGGGGCGTGAAGGGGGAATTGGAGCAGAGGGGGTGTGAGTGGGTTTGGGAGAGGAAATTGCGGTGAGGAGCGTTTAGGGAGGGGAAATTGGGGTGTT